GTAACCCCTTGGTGGGGTGGAGTTGGAGGGGGAGGGGGGGTTACACGCATGCAGCGCAGCGCGACGTCGCGAGGTGGAGACGGTCCAACTCGTCAAAATGTAGCTCATCTTGCGTTTGCGGAAGTCGTCCGCCGCCCGCCTCACCACCCTCCTGCCCCGAGCGGGGAGGGCGCTGCCCCCTCTGGCAAATGTGCCGTTTCGGGAGGCAGGCAGCAGGGCGGATGGCGGGGCCAACTGTGGGGCCACCTATGGGCCCGGCCGGGGCCCCGCCGGGGACAGGTGGGCGGGCGCAGGCTGGCGACGGCGCGGCCGCTCTCTCGCGCCGGTCGGTTTGGCACATAAATAATAATGTGAGCGAGTGACGCAGAGGGACTTGGCCAGGCCGAGGAGTGGAGGGCGCGGCGCCCGAGAGACGCCCCCTTTCTCTCCGGGGAGGTACTGTATGAGTATGGTCGCTGACAACTCTACACCCAGAAAATGGTTCCATTGAATTGACGGAGAATCCCTTAGACCAATGGAAGTTTAACCAATGGAAAGTTAGATAGAATTTTACCGCAACTTTAAGCGATTTCCCATTACCCTATTGGAATTTTCCCCCATACTTTCTTTCAATTGAATCAACGGAACCGTTTTCTGCGGGTGTAGCAGAGCTTCCTGTGACGCCGACAGTAAGTCCTTGTGCCCTGAGGCCTGCCGCTCGGTCAGTATTTCGTGAAAATATAACCTACCATACGCTCGGGTCGGGGTCGGTCTCGTACCGCACAGTCGCGGTGACACGCAGACGGCTTGCCGCGCTGCGCCACCCCGCCGCGGTGGTGACGACGGCGCTGTCACCGATATGCACCCGAGGCGGACTGCTGCTGTCGTCGTGGACCCACCCCGGGGACGGGGACGTGCCGCGTCGTCAACGTCATGGTGAAAACTGTGCTGTGGGGGCGATTTTAATAAGGGAATCATCCAGAAAGTACGTCAGCCGTTCGCCGTAACGAACGCGCCAAGTTCAGCCTATGCAAGCACTGTCAGCGCCTGGTAGGTAGGCAAAACCTTGCCCGCAGTGCATGCCTGTACTGCGGGTTGGCCTACCCGGAGTCGCGCAGTCGCCGCGATCTCCTGTCATTTGCAGAACGAGAAAACGGACGTACTTTCTGGACGATCCTCTGCGTCGTTTGTGACGGTGTTGGCCGCCTCGGCTCCGTGTCGCGTCGCGAGGCCTCAGTTAGTCCGGCTGGGCAGGGTGGCGGCGGGGCCGCGGGGGGCGCGGGTCCAGCCGGCAGCGGCGTCCGGTGGCGCCTCGCGAAAACTGATTTACGGCCCCGGGAGGAGAGGTGCGGTGCCAACGGCCGGTGTATCCGCCGCGAGGGGGGATGGAGCTCGTCGCGCGAGGACGTCGCACGACGTCGCAGCGCGGGCTTCGCGCCCCGGCGCCCCTCCCGCCTCCCCGCCCCTCCCCTCCCCAGGCACGCGGTTTGTCAGCTGTTTGGTCCTGGCCCGCGGCGTGGTGGAGGTGGGCTGGGTGCTGGGTGTTGCACCCTGTGCTGTGCCATGGCCGCAACAATAGGCGCTTTGTTCGCGGTGCCTCTAGGATGCCTGGGCGGACCCTTGCCTAGGGCCCCACAGCACAGCGCGGTGCCTGCAAGAGGCAGGGCTGTGAGGGCCTGGTGGGGCTCCTTGGGTTCCTTCTGCTGCAAGGTCCACTGCACGCTGGCGTCTTGCAGACACGCTGCTGGGCCAGGCTGCCGAGAGTCAGGAGGTGAGGCGAGGAGCAGTGACAATGGCTTTCCCCATCGGGCCCCCGCCCCGCCCCGCCCCGCCCCGCCCCGCCCCGCCGTGTGCTGCCGTGCCGGTTGCCCGCCTCGCTGGCCGTGTAACCGTAGCGGCCGTAGCGGCGGACTCGCGAGCAGGAGAGGCGGCGACACTCGACTCAGGATGCGATGGGCGTCGCGTCGCCGCCCTCGCGCCGTCTTACTTTTCGTCCCGTCCTTCCTTTCCCTTCCCTCTCCTTCGATTCTTGCCTGTTGCGCGGAGCTGCTCAGGGGCGGACTGGGTGGTCAGGGGCCCGGGGGGGAAATCTGGAAGGGGGGCCCGGTTTTGCCTATCTTTCAGGGGCAATCTATACGTAATAAAGCACAGCAAGTTTTACATGTCTGACCTGTTTTATTTAAATATTTGATCTTCCAGCGTATCGCCGTATAAAATGGATCAGCCGCCTGTAGGAAAATTTCGCGAGCGGAGCGAGCGCGAAAATTTTTGAATGGTACGAAGGCGCTAAAAGGCGCTTACGGGTACCAAAAACACTGTAAAAGTACCAAGTGGGCAGGTTTCCTTCGGACGCGATTTAGGTACAGTGCCTTTGTAGTACATTAAACATCGCGAGCGAAGCGAGCGTAAAAAATATCTGGATATGCCTTAACCATTTTTTGATTACTAAACTATTACATGGCGCTTGATCCTTGGGCCCAGGCCGGGGCCCCTGGTCCCACGTTGCGCCTAGGACTTGGGCCCTTGGCTCGGGCCCGAGATGTCTGGGACCAAGCCAAGGCAGGGGGCCGAACCCCGGGCCCCTGGCCGAATCAGGCCCTTCGGGCCCGAGGTGCACGAGGTTGGGTGCGGGGGGCCCGCGGGAGCTGCTGGCACGACGGCCAAGCTTTTCCGGCTCACTTTTGGGGGGAAAGCGAAAATGCGCCGACGTGCGGCCGCCGCCGCCTGAGGAGGACGGCGATGATGAAAGCCGCGCGACGTGTCGGCGGCATAGACTTCCCGTATCAGTGGGGGGTCCTGATTGGTTGGGACGCCCTGGTCGCTGATTGGTCGAGCCATACGGGGAGCGGGTGGGTGAGTGAGTGGGCGATACAGGCGTGCGGCAGCTCTTAATTACAACGCGAGAGTCCCCTGCACCACCGCCAAACCGCAACCATCAACTGCCTGGTGTGGTGCCTGGTGTGGTGCCTGGTGCCGGGGGAATGGAGTTGGTGCTCGCCGGCGCGGGCCGCCGAGGCGCTGCTGGTCACGGCGCGCGAGACGTGCTGGCCGGCACGATCTAGGCCACGTTGTTGGTGCTGTGGATGAATGGCTTGTTGCCGGAGCTCCCGATCGGAGCTCCGCTGGTGCTCCGATCTGCCGCCCCTCCCTTCGCAGTGCGTTGGCTGGCTGGCGTTGGGCATGGCTTCCGGGTGACGATGGGGTATCGTTTCCGGCCGAAGTGTATATAACATAACATTGGACCGATTAGTGTTAATTTTGCCGCTCTCTTAGCAGCGCTCGACTCGTCCCATTTGGGCGCGGCGCGGGAAGGATCGTTTTATGCTTTTTAAATGGCCATCGCTTCTACTCTGCGGTTTACGGCTGCTACCCCGAGCTTTTCCCCCGCGTTTCAACCGAACACTTTGGGGATCGGCGATCCTGCAGTGGCCCACATCTATCCAGTCTATCGTCCTCTGCTCCAGCTCCTTGCTCCTCCGTGCCGCGGTCCCCCGTCCACTCTGCACCCCTTGCTCCAGCCCTCCCCCACCCCCTCCTGCGCTCCAGTTCACCGTTCACTCATCCTGGAGGAGCTCCCGTCCTTGACCTCGTTTCGTCTAATCCCGCCAGACCTTGGCGTGCGCATCACGCCTTGTTGGCTTTTTATATATCTCTCTCTCCTTTGCGCCATTATATTTCGCCCCGCAACGCTAGCGTAACGCACGGCACCAGGTGACCATGACGGCGAGCGCGCGTGTGTGCGCGTTACGTAACGCCCATCCATCCCACGCACTGCCGAGCGTGACACGGGCGTGACAGCGTCAACAAACTCTAGCCTACACCACGAGAGAGAAAGGGGAGGGGGGGGGGGCTGCTCCTTCCTGCTGGTGCCGGACCGAGAGGGTGCCTCCAGCACCTTTAGCGCCTGTGGAGCGGAGGGTAGGCAACCCCCTGGACGGGCGTGCCTTGCGGTGGCCGACCGACCGGCCCGACCCCGGCCGAATTTGAAGACCTCTTACTGTACTCTAATTCGTGTGTGTTTGTATGCGCTGGGCGGACTATTGTTAACGCTGTGTTACTGACAAACCTTTTTGACTTTTTCTGTTGCAGTTCAACTTCGTCGGAAGGATTCTCGGGCCCAGGGGAATGACGGCGAAACAGTTAGAACAAGAAACCGGTTGCAAAATTATGGTCCGCGGGAAAGGATCGATGAGAGACAAGAAAAAGGTACGTGTGCGTCGAGTGCGCCCCCGTCCACCCCTCCCCCTGTCATTGCTGCTTGGACAGCGTAGCTTGCGCGTATAACGGTGACGTTTTTTCATGAAATGTTGCTCCTCTTTTCTTGTCCCGCTTCTTATTGTGTGGATTTGCAGCTGGGATTTTGCGAGTGAGTATTTGTTGATGATGGTTCCATCTGCGGGGAAGGCCGCGCGCGCTCCTAGCGGGCGTTTCGGTTGCACATGGTCTGGTTGCGCCACATGCGACATTGTTTTAATACAATTATTGCCATGCCCCTCATGTTTTTTATTTGTATTTTTCAGGAAGAGCAAAACCGAGGTAAACCTAACTGGGAGCATTTGAATGATGAACTCCATGTTCTTCTCACAGTAGAAGACACAGAAAATCGCGCTCGTGTCAAAATGGACCGAGCTGTCGAGGAGGTCAAAAAACTGCTCATACCGGTGAGAATTTTGTGCTGATTCGTGACCCCTAGGCTGTTCTTAGCGTCTCGTCCGGCGAGAGGTTAACGTTGTGCCCTTTTCTTTGCAGGCCGACGGCGAGGATGAGCTGAAAAAGAGGCAGCTGATGGAGCTGGCCATTATCAATGGAACTTATCGCGATTCAAGCGCAAAAGCTGTAGTGCAAGCAGGTGAGCCCGCGTCCGCTCATGTGGCAAGTATGTATTGAGGCTTCTTGAGTCGAAATTCTTGTCCGTTTGCTTTAGTATAATGTTTTTGATTGTTTGTGGGTGTAGCTGCCCATCAAGCGCCGCATGATCCAACTCGTTCTTCGTGCTCCGTCTCACCCCTTTGTTTTCGTCTTCCCTTGTCTTTCAGCCGTCTGTGACGAGGAGTGGCGGCGAGTCGCCCTGGCGGCGTCAGAAACACAGCGAATGCTGTCGCCTGGCATGCAAACCTTGACAGGTCCGATGAGAAATCACGCCACGCCCCTGGGGGCCCCGCTCATCTTATCGCCGAGGATGCAGGTGCCGACTTCGGCAGCATCCCTCCTGAACGGCTCTGGACCGGCCCCCGGCCTCATCCCCGGCCACGAGCACCACGGGCTCATTTACGCCTCGCCGTACGACTTCAGCAACTACCTGGCGGCAGCCGCCTCCGCCTCGCCCCTCATGACGGACTACAGCGAACATACGGGTGCGTTATTTGCATTTTGACCTAAGGACATGCTTGGCTAACCTAACCATGATTCACACCTTTCAGCGGCCACAGAGGCGTATGTTAAGTGATTCTCAAGGACGTATAATTGATAGTGTTAAATATCTCATAATTTTGTGCTCGTATGATTTACATCATTATTGCGTAGAGTCTGTCCTCTACAAAGTTCATTTCGTCTCTCCATTTTGAAAATTTTTTGTCTTGGATATTTGTGATTCGTATCCTATCTTAGCAAAGTCCATTTGAACTCCTTGATTTTCACTCAGTATTTGTGTATAAGCATTTGCTTATACATCTATATATTTTAAATGTATTCTTTGAATGTCTTTACATCTGGCCTGAACTCAGAACAAAGGCAGTTATATAAGTATTCAGTGAGTTTTTTTTTTTAAGTTTCTTATAGTTTGGATATGCATTTATTGTTTGTTTATTTGTTGAGTATTCTTCCATTCAACTTTTAGTCAATTACTTGCTTTCTGAAGCAATCTATCAAAGTCCTCATGGCTCACTTTAGATCTTTTAAATTTCTGGTGATCATTTCTTGTCAACAAATCCCAGTATTGTGATTTCAATTTTTAAAAGGTACTGTTATCATGAATACTTTGAGTTTTACTTTAATCTGCAGATATTTGTGAACTAAGTCTTTCAAGTATTGTGCTCCTCGGCAGTGGATGTTTGGAATATCTTATCGTTAGATTTTTATTGATGACAGACGCAGCAAGTGCTGATTTGAAAGGTGTGACCGTGACATGAAATAACCATTAACTGAAGACAGTCCTTGGTTCAAGTTTAAGATATTTGTGGGAGGGAAATACGTAATCTTGACAACATTAGTTATCACCACCCTTTGTTTGATATTGGTTTCACTCTTGGTTGTGGGTTTGGCAGTTCTAAATTAATCAAGAAATGATACGCTCTAATTACCTTTCTCCAATGGATTATTCTAAAGTCAAATCAGTTTTAAATACACTTCAAAACTTAAACTTTTTATCGATCACTTCTATATGTGATTGGTTTGAATTGAAATTCATGTGTATCAAACCAATTTATGGGATTCATTTGTTGGACAAGCCTTCTCCCCAGTGTACTCTTGCACTTGTTCGCAATCATCTACTCACAAAACTAACTAAACTAAAATTGTGTTACTTACTCGGATTTTTCATTGCCATAATACTGTTATGCCGAGCTCAGCAGAGTTTTTCTGTTATAAGCATTGTCATTTCTCATGGCAATCCTTATTTTTATTGACATTGTGTTTACTCAACACTTCCTGTTTTATCTTAGACTGTCAATTAATTTTATAGGAAAAATATACGTCTCTGGTTATATTTAAACAAAGAAAAATGAAAGAGAAACATGGACCTGCTGGGCTCCTAGTGAGTTGATGTTCGGACAAGTGTCAAGATATCCGTTGGTCATTCCAGAGCAGCGGTGGGTCACGGTTGGGGTGTGAACCATTGGTTCCACGCTCGAGGATGGCCAGATCAGCGGTAGACACACCCAGGCCTCCTTCAACCTGTCAGAAAAATCAGCGTCAACATCCTCTGAGCACATGACGCATCCTACTGTTCACGTTTTGTGCTCATATTCTTCTGATGGTGAACTAGAGTGATTGAACAATAATTATTTATCTGTGGGATATTCCAGTGACTTAAATCAATTGAATTTGGCATGAACTTTCTCCCTCCATTGCCAGTGAGGTGTGTGATGTGTATATTAGTGCAATGCTGTCAGTCAAATCAGAAGACAAATATGCAAGACAAGTATGCAAGTGGTAGTGACATGAGATTTTAATTTTTTTTTATATATATA